CACAGAGCTATTGACATTGTGTTTGAATACTGAACAGTTTATCAATTACTTGCTAATAATGTTAATAATGAGTGAAAAAAGTATGTGAATGAGATCAATTTCTAATAGGGAATAGTGAATACGATTATTATTTTATGAAAAATAATAAACAAATATTTCATTAGTCGTGCATGAAAAAATTTAAAATCTCCCCTCTTTAATAACCAAAACGTGCTTAGTCAAATTTGTTATATATGATTTCGATGACGGCGACGTAAAGTCTAAGACGCCAATACTTGGTTACTAAACAAGGGGTCAAGTTAAAAGTTATCTTGTATTAGGATCCATCCTTTTTTTCGGTTGTGATTAGTTATTTTTGGCACTTCGAAATCCTACTTTGACCCGAAGCAAGTGGTAGTTGTACCTTATAAAAGGTATCAATCTACCTAGATCTGTCAGTGTAAAGCTGCTCTAACTCCTTGTTTTAATTTCTGGCCATTAGATGACGCCATCTTACTCTCATTCTAATTTTAATTCAATATTATAGTTTACTGTAAATATGATATAATAATGCATTCTTCTTGTTCTTCAGCCTTAAGTAATCCAACTTTGGATATAGGCCTTCTCCAAATCAATCCAGTGTCTCCTATTTTGCGCCACTTGCTTCCCGTTTTGTCCTCCGATCTTTTAAATAACATCCGCCCATCTCGTTTGTGGTCTTTCTCTGCTTCTCTTTCCTAACCATGGTCTCCATTGTTGTATTTTAATTTAGCAGCATGTTCTCCTGAGTATTTTACTTTCGTTTTGCTTCTACTCCATTTGTTTGTTTTTTTGTCTATAAGTCTCACCCCGAGCATTAATCTTTCCATCGCAACTTGTGCTTTACTTATTTTATCCATATAAGACTTGGTGAGTGTCCACGTCTGTAAACCATACGTGAGTATAGGGAGGATACACTGATAGTAAATTCTGGTCTTCAAATATTGTTTTATTTTAGTGCTTTTTAAGATCCAACTCAGTTTTCTAAATCCTGCCCACGCTAACCTTATTTTTTTGGTACTTTCGACAGTTTGATCTTCTTTGTTAACTTACATTATCTGTCCCAGGTAGATGTATTCACTTACTGTTTCCAAATTTATGTCGTTTAACGTTATCTCTCTAATGTTCGGTGTATTTGTCATTATTTTTTTTTTCAAGTTCATCTTAAGACCTAGGGGAACCTGGCCCAAAATTACATACTAGGGTAAAATGACACATCCGGTGTATCTCTAACTTGGCAACATGGCTATGCGCTAAGAAGTTTTATACAAGAGCATCACGTGGTGCATAATTGATGTTTCAACGGGCGTCGCGATCAGTTCAGTCGTTTACTTGTTAAAAGGTGGTTTGTGCTTTATTGAGTACCAAAATATTTTGGTAGGCGACGTATACTTCGCTATAAAACGTTTAAAACTTTAAAATTTTATATCTCTGTTAGTTCCAGGTATGTATTGTTATTCATATTAACAGAAACATCATGTTTGGAAGCTTTGTTCGTTTAAACAAAAAATTTATTGTAAAAAACGTGTTCTTGTTCACACTTGGGTAAAACGACATATTAAATACTCGGGTAAAATGACATAGTATGTCATTTTGTCCATATAAATTTTAATAATATTATGGTAGGTAGAATATTAACGTATGGTATTTTTCTTTTTTAGTATAGTGGGACACTACGAAATTAAAAGTACACGCCAGTCTTGGGATCCAGTACAAATGCAAAAAGCCATCCAGGCAGTCCAGTGTGGAGACATGGGCTGGTTAAAAGCATCGATAACTTTTAATGTGCCCCAAGCTACTTTAAGAAGACGAGCATCAGACAAGAATAAACGGGTATCAGATACTAATAAAGGTCTTGACCGGTACGAAACTACGTTCTCTCTAGAATTAGAAAGAGACCTCGTAACACACATAAAACTCCTAGAATCGAGTTTGTTTGAATTATCTTGTGATGACGTTCGTTCTTTAGCCTACCAGTTAGCAGATCGAAATGGAATAGTACACTGATTTAACACAACCACTAAGATGGCTGGTTGGGATTGGTTACGAGGGTTTCAGTCTAGACCCGCGATATATCCCTTAGAAAACCCGAGTTCACCTCTGCAGCAAGTGCGCAATCATTCAACAGGCCGCAAATTGCCAATTTTTTTAAACTTTTTTTAAACGTTTTTTAAACCCGGCAAAATATTTGCAACCAAGGGTCGGAAGCAAGTGGGCCTAATTACAAGTGCGGAAAGAGGGCAGCACATAACGATGGTTGCTTGCATTAGCTCAGTGGGGAATTATGATCCACCAACACTTATATTCCCCAGGAAAAATTGGAAAAAAGAATTAATAGATGAAGCGCCTTTAGGAACTTAAGGAATAGCACAGGAAACAGGATGGATGACAGGCGTGTTCCTAACATGGATGAAACATTTTAAAGAATATTCTAATCCTTCTATAGAAGACAAGCTTATGCTGTTGCTTGATGGGCATGCGAGCCATAATAACATTAATGTTTTAACTTTTGCCAAAGAACATGGAATAGTGATATTGTGTTTTCCGCCGCACTGTACCCATCGTCTACAGCCGTTAGATGTATGTTTCTTTGGTCCATTAAAGAGCTACTATGATCAAGAAGTTACCAAGTGGATAAAGTGTCATCCAGGAAGAACAGTTTCGCAATAACAAGTTGAAGGATTATTTGCTACAGCGTATGGAAAAGCAGCTACACACCAAAATGCCGTTAGTGGATTTTTAAAGACTGGAATTTGGCCACTTAATCCCGTCATATTCCCTTATTATTTATTTAATCCTTCCAAAATACCAGATATTCAAGAAGAAGTTGCAATTCAACCCCTAACAGAGTCAAAAGAAGAGAATGATAATGTTTTGAGACATAAAGATTTTCCAGATTAAGGAAACAAACCGGTTTCTACACTTAGACCAAACTCACTTGAAAGCTGTTCTTCAATTAATCCTGGTATTCGTCCAGTTAACATTTCACCTCTTCCATCGTGTTCAGGTGTCCAGTCACGCCCAAAAAAAAAAGAAAATCAGAAGGAACAAAAGTTCTAACGGCTACCCCAAATATGAAAGAACAAAAAGCCAAAGCACTCGAGAAGCGAGCTACAGAAAAACGTCAAGCTGCAAAGCGAGCAATTAAGAATCTAACATTAATGACACAAGATCGCGAGGAGGAAACAAAGACCATTGTGTCAGATGATGACGAAGACGAAAATAATCCTTCATGTTTATATTGTAACAGTTTGTACTCCCAAGGTCCAAAAAATTCTGGATTAGGTGCCAAAAATGCTCAAAATGGGCACACTGTGATTGTGCTGGTATCTCAAAATCGTGCAAAAAATTTATTTGTGAACTTTGCTAATTTAGTTTATATAAAATATTATCCATGTGAGTGTGTAGATTCTCTTATAAATTATCTTTAAGAACAATTTTAGTAGATGACTCATGAGGCCTATATTACGGTAATCTTCACATTTTTTGGCTCCTGGTTTTTTTAAAAGTGCAATAATAAACTCAGATTTCAGCCATTCTGTTGGTATTTCTCCAGAGTGGTATATGTTGTTGAACTAGATATAGGATACTTATTTCTATACAAGTCTTTTTTTTTTTTTTTGTGTGTTTTGGCTTGGACAATTGTCATTTAGCCAGTCTCAATCAAGATAAGTTTATTAATGTAGTGTGTGTGTGTCTGTGTTTGTGTGTGTAGAGTAATTGTCTTGATACTTAGCAAAGTCGACGTCATTGTCTTTGCTAAGAGACGCTAATTGTATCCGAACGTCTGCGGTCCCTCCGGTGTGTACCGATCACACAAGGATAGAAATTATTTTCATTTATTAATTTTTTTTTTAATAAACGAAAATTTCCACCCAGGTGGGATTCGAACTCACGACCATTAGGTTTAAAGGCAGGCGCTCTTACCACTGAGCCACAGAGGGGGTTTCTATACAAGTCAAAAAGTTTATAATGTAAACTAAATACAGGTTAAGGGTGCTCACCACTGGTGTAGCTTCCACCGTGTTACTTTTTCTAAGCCTTTTAAACATATTGTTACCAGCTTTTAGAAAAACAATAACTTAAGCAAATATATTTAGAATAACAGGAACCAAAAGAAAAAGCACTTAATCAGTATTATATACAAACTTACATGTAGTAACTGTGCTCACAAATATACATCGGTCAACCTGGTAAAACTAATCCCCGTACAGTAGAACACAAAATTGCTTTCAACAATACAAAAACAGGTTTTCCGTACGCCCTTTACCTTTTAGATTATAATCAGTTTCTTTTAATGACCAACTTTTTACATTCAAAATAAAGGCATTAAGCTATTTTTATTGGAATCTATGAAAATTACCAAATTGAAAAATATAGAAAAATTCAGTTTCCCCTACTCGACTTATTTAGTTGAAGACTCTAAAGTGTAAACGCGCTGTAGTAATAATAAATTATAATAGTTTTGTGTTCAAAAGAGTGTTGTAAACAAAAATTTTCAGTGTTTTATTGTAAGATAAAATAGATTTCCATCAAGTAACAGTCAAATTCATCACTTATGTGCAGAAAATAAAAAAAAAGTTACAGTTACCAGCTGTTCTCCATGTGTAGAGGTTTACTCTCCGGCTCTGGAACTCAGTTCAGCCATGTATGTTACCTGAAGTCATATTTAATTTAATACTGAACATCACAGTTTTGTAACAACATGATGTATAATCTTTTACAACTAAGTATATGTAATTTAAAGGGTTTTTACCCACGTATTTTGGTGGCTCAGGCATTTTAACCTAGCAATTTTAAAATTTAAACCTGATGATGGACTGTAGTCCGAAAACGTTTGTTTTGTTTTTTTATGTAGCCCTTTTAAGGGTTTTTAAATAAATATACCCATTTACGAAGACTAACCTCTTTTTTGTGATACGTGGTATACAGCCAGTTACAGGAATTGTTTTCCTTGTGGATTTAAAAAAAAACATAAACTCATAAAACTTATATTTATATTACGTATATACAACAGTCAATGCAAAAATCATTCCTTGGGTATTTGTCCCTGTTTACTGTAAACTCTATTGATATTACTTATAAAAAAATACTTAATAACTAAAAATCAGTCTGCTGCTATGACCATACATTGTCTTCTATCCACTTTATGTAGTAAGATACTCTTGTGTAAACTCCCGGCTGGTTTCTTCCAATGCCACAAGCAACACCAAACGAAGTAACTCCTATAATATTATACATACACTTGACCTCTTTTGTATCTTCATGAACAATTTGAAGAGGGCCGCCAGAATCACCCTAAAACAATACATGTACTCTGATATTTACGAATTGAGACAATATTCAGCATATATTCTATAATCACCTTGGTATCGACCATCAACAAATTGGTGAAAAACTTTATTGCAAAGAACTAAAACTGGCAACACTAGCAAATGCCCAGATTTATTTTTATAATCGCCTATTTCTACGAATTTTAGGTTCTGAAACTAACCAAATAGATCATGCTAGTGTTCAACAACAACCAGTATTGTATTGACACAATATTTGCCAAGGCCTTTGACCAAACAACTATGTATATAGCAGAAAAATGACGTGCTTACTCTCTTTTTACCTAGCAAAACTTGGGGTTTAGATAAGACATTTAGATAAAAGTCTTGTCTAAAGTTTTAAATACTCATGATTATTTCCATACTTCAATAGAAAATGGAACTAAAAAAAAGACTAGTTTACAGTTAACAGTTCGACAGAGATCTTTTGATTTTTTGCCCGAGCATTCGTCCGATTTTTTGTGTCATTATAGGATGTAATGATAATGATTGATGGAATGATTTCTAGACCAAACCTAAAAATTAGAAGACTTGTGTGGCCACATCGTTTGAGTTAGAAGCAGTGAGTGAAAATGTAAATACACAAAAATACATGCCAGTACATACTGAAATAAAAACTACCTTTAAAAATGTATTGGAACTGTATTAAGACAAATAACTTAAAAAAAATTAAAAAAATATATACTAGAACTGTTTAATATTTAAAAGATGGTGTTATAAACAACGAGCAAGCAGACATTTTTAAAGAGAAGAAAAAGTGAAATAATAAGAAAGTGTTAGTATTGTCCTTTTTATTGCTTACCTGGCAGGTGTCTTTCCTATCCTCTGAAGATCCTGCGCAAATCATAAAATCTTCAATAATTCCATTAGGTAGCTCCGTGTTAGCTGAATTTATAATTCTCCTATAAGTATTGTTACATTGTGCCGTTGTAAAATACTCCAAAATAACTTTCTGTAAATCTTCGCTCCCTTCTCCAGCGAATTCAGTTAAACCCCAGCCTGTAGCTACAGCGTGTTTCACAGGGAATTCTTTTTTAGTGTAAAGACATGCTGGACGTAAAAACGTGTTGAAATCAAAATTTCTGTCAACTTTTAAAAGAGCTATATCATGATATTTTTCGAAGGTGTAGCTGGGGTGTTTTATTAGCTTAATGATATTTCTGACTTGAACGTGATGTGTGTCTGATTGGTTTGCAAGACCTCCCCTGGCAAATTTGGCATCTCCTCTAGAAATTAAAGAGGTAAATAAGTATACAATTTAATTTATTTTTACGCAGTTGGCAAAGCAGTCCCCTATTTTGAGCAGGAAAACAGTATGTTTCCTTTAGGTGAAACCTCATAAATTGATCTTGTGTCATCACCTTTATAAATATAACCATGACTGTCATTTAATTTTATGTTTTTTAAACACCTATTTCATTCTTGTTTTGGCATTTGAACGAGTAAGTCATGTGACAAGTACAGTTAAAATCCAGTTTACCTTATCGGTAGTAATTACTGCTTAATTTCCATTTATTAGTGTGTAACAGTAATTTCTGGACAAGTTTTGTTTGTATTGCTTTATTTATATTACTAAATCATTACAAATTATACTTAGTTTATACAAAGTGCATAACAGAGACTGGTTTCACCGATCTGCTGGTTCTTGCTGGCCATCCAACTCAATTGATTTAAATACAATTTAGATGGCAAAATCAGTTAAAGAAGAGATATAACAAGGGGTTATTATCTGTGTCTATATGAGTAGTACAAATATAAACAATACGTCTACAGTGTCTTTTTAAACCATGGCCCTTCAAAGTGCTACAAAGAACACTCTAGCAACTACATAGGCTCTCTTACATGACCGCTGCAAAATCTACACCGAAACCATCTTTTCCAAAAAAAAGGGGGAATAGTTCTCCACGCAGAAGAAGACCTTAATCTTTCAGACTGGATTAAAGCTATTGGTGATATCATTGGACCAAAAAAATAGTTTTATTACATTTAAAATCTCTAACAATAGGATCTGCATATATCTAGCAAACTGAAATTTTAAAAACTTGTTTTCCCGACAAAAAAAATATTAATTTTATACATTTCTTCTTACATTTCCTATGAACTGTCCGAGAATCCAGTGAAGAGTCTTGTTCGTCTTTAAATAGCCTCCCCTTTATCCTTCCTTACAGCAGGCCACAGCATGCCGCAGTTTTCGCCGGTAAGTATATTTTTTCCTCCCACTGATAATTTCTAGCGTGATACCTCCCAACTAACTCCTTTTTAATGCAATGATAATAGACTTTTTCTGCTTACAGACAAGATGAAATGTTTCATGTGCCATCAGTTAAGACATGTTGCTTCTGATTGCTCCAATAGTTCAACTGACAATTTGTCACCTCAAAATTCTACTCTTTCTAATGACCTAGCTCCCACTACCCAATCAACGCCACAGTAATGGAATAAACAAATTCCCTCTCATACTGAAACGGGTACCTCTCAAACAAATTTTCCTGTTTTTTATCTTCCCCAGAAAATTGCAAAAATGATACAATATCTGTAAAGTTAGATAAACTATGTTTAACTTCTTTAATTTTACAAAAAAGGTCACGCTCATCTGTATCATATGTAAGTGATCAGAACCTTTAATCTGGGAAAAACCCCGCAACAAAACAAACAAGGTTTTCCTCTAAGCAAATAGTTTCTAGCTCTTCTAGCTCCTTCAATACAAAAAATAAACGAAAACGTAGTTCTTCTGTCAACCCCAGTCTATCCAGGGACTTCAAGCAAGAAATTTAAGAAGCCTATAAACAAAACCCAGAGGCTTTTGCAGTCCTTCCTGATAATATAATTGCCTTTATTGATAACTCTTACGGTAGCTGCGACTCTGTCTCAGAAGCATTCAAATTCACAACAGTATTAAATCACTTTATTCTAACTTTGCAATCAATTAACCCAAAATTCATAGAAATATTCACAACAATCAGAATTACACAATTATTTAAAAAAAATTAAAACAAAAATACATTCTGCAATAGATAATTCTGAAAGTATAGACAGTATTGATAATTTCCAGGATGCTTGCGATCTAGAATACTTGTCCGATAGTTCCACATATTAATTTTAACTTTTACTGTGGGAATTTTTATGGAAAATAGAAGAATGTGGAAGCTTGGAAATAATAAATTTAATAGAAATGATCCTTTGGAGAAAAGTTACGATTAACACTAATTAACAAAGTAAAAAATGAACGGATTAGAGAACTAATAAATGTAAAGGAGACATTACATGACGAAATAAAAACAGAAAATAACTCTGGTATGGACACAATTATGCGAAGGGGAATGAGACAACAATACTGCTTAGAACTTGGATATATAAATCAAATGGAAGAAGGAAAAGACGAAGTCCTAGATAACAGTGGAATGCACAAATACAAACAGAAAGGGAAAAAAGAGACCTCACTGAAGATACATATGGCAAGTAGAAGTTGTGATTGAGATGTGGTAAACGACAAACAGAATATGGTGTGCGATATGGCGGTGTAACATGGTGGGCGGTGTAAAACCACATATAAATTGAATACCTAAAATTTTTAAATCGTTAAATTAAACAATGCCAACATTGTTAATCATATTACGCCACTGACTCTTTTATGTGAGGATTAATAATCGACTTTTAACATTATTAATTACTGTAAACTGGTTTCAAGATTCAGGTTTTATAATCAACAAAAGAACACAGTTAATTTCGTAAAAATTAACTACCAGCTACCTGTTTTTTATCATCAGGAAGATACTGTAATTTTAATAAATAAACAAATAAAAGGTTTAGGCGAAAAGCTCGGGTTCGTTCGGAAAAATATTCCCATGGGATTTCTTTTCAAGAATCACTTTATGAAATATATATTGGCCCTAAATCCAGTTTGGTGTCATTTTTGTTAAAAGAAATCCCTACGTAGCGAAAAAGAGCCAAAAGTACACCAAATCCACAAACATTTGTATTTAGGGCCTTTTTTCTTCAAATTACATCTATGAAGTATGAATACGGAATTAAGGCCGTCTTCTGTGAAATACCGCGGATTAGTTTTTGGAGGTGGGGTATTCTTTCATAAGATGTTATGGCGTGACTGACTGTTTTGACGTGGCTTTCGCCAGTTACATTGTCATTAATTGTTTGAAGCTGACGAGTACTACTTCTTTCGTTTGTGGATTGAATTTTGTTTAGTTATAATTTTAAGATTCTGTTTTCCCAAGAAGATATAATATCCATTTTAGTTTACGCATTATTTAATCAAGTAAGTTCATTCTTAATATTATGTATTTAAAGATATTCAGTTATCAGTAAAGTTGTACCTACGTTAACCTCAAAATGTAATGATCTAGGGTCTTGAATCTAATTTTGATTGACCAACATTGTTGCTTAACTAATATTACCAATTTGGACACAGTTTAAAACTTGCTTGATCAAAAATTAAAAACCTAATATATACATATATATATATATATATATATATATATATATATATATATATATATATATATATATAGAGTAAAAACTGAAAATAAAACTTCATAAATTACAATTAAAAAAGAGTGGGAAAAACTAATTTTATAAAAAAATTATTAAATGAACATTACACAAACACTAGGATATTTTAACAGAAATTAAAGTGAATTAAAGTTATTTCTCAATTTAAAAAATTTAATAGTATTAGATTATCTTCCTGTTAGTTTAGATTAAGATTTTTAAAGAATTTGTTTATCTTATTGTATATTCTTACAGTGTCTAGTTTTTGTATTAGTAACAAAATTATAACATAGATCCAATTATTTGTTTTGACCTAGTCAGTTCATCTTTTGCATAAGATCTAACGATATGTTATGTATTTTAGGTGGGCGGTTTAATAAGAATTTTGACGCTTTGAAACGTTGAAGCAATGATACCTAGACGTAATTTACCGAGAGAAGCTTCAATGCCATCGATGTTGTCTGAACAAAATCAACAACTCAATGATGTTCTCAATAAGACTGAATCCAACTTTAAAAAAATCCGCAACCAATAGTACAGCTTCCATGACTATAAAGGCTCAATTTGAAACCCAAGTAATACCTGCTTACTTAGTGATCAACGAAGATATGGACTCCTTAAATTTTCTGCAACCTGCGAGACTTTTAAATAACCCAGATCAGAATTTTTTTAAATGTAACGTAGAAAAAGAAAAAACGTTAATTTACACAACACTTGAGGTCTTTACTCGATCTCAAAATGTTCCCGTCCGCAGTGAACTAGAAACTTTAAATACCACGGTTATACCGAAAGAAATACAACTTGGAAACTTTTAATTCATCAAATTTAAACCAAAATGTTCAAGGTGAAAATGATCCAGTACAAAGAAAAATAGAAAATGTTAACAATAGTGTAATTCATAATAAAAAACCTCAAGAAAAGGAACAGCAGTTAAATTCAGCACAAGAACCAGATAGAGAAAATAAAGAACTTGGTATTACAAAAGGTGGAACTAAAAGGATACGGAAGAAAACAAGTACAACTTTAAAAGAAAAAGTACGGAACAAAATAAAGAAGTTTTTTTAAAGAAAACACCTGAGTTATTGATGATACCCTAACATCTGGTGACAAAAATAGAATGACAGGTACGGCGTCAGGTGTAACCGACAAAAGAAATTTGACAAAAGCATCATTAGAAATCATATATAGAGTTACAACCCAAGTATTGCTGATTACAGAAGAGAACATGCACCAAATCGACGATACCTCCCAAATGATGGGACCATTCAAAGGATGTATGATGACCTTGGACGAAGTGAAAACTTGTGTAACTGTTCTTGCGATTTATACAGAAAAGTTGCTAATGAACTTAATATATCATTCACGAAACTTGGTCATGAAGAATGTAGTATGTGCTTCAAGTTTAAAAACTTAATAAAGACCACAGCCAGGAAAACATATAATCGGATTGTTTGGTTTGCGTCAGTTGGAAGAGCCATATTGCAAAAGCTACAGAATCAAGACAATTATATATAAAAGATACAAAACTACAGTCTTTCAATGACACTATGTTTATTTGTGCTGATGTTCAAACAGTCATCATGTTGCCACGCATAGATTCCTTTAAAGAAGTCGTGTTTACTCGAAGAATGGTAGTATTTAATGAAAGTTTTGTACCTGTTGGTACTAAACGTAAGACCAAACCTCTCGTAGTATTGTTGCGAGGCGAACGAATTTTTTTTTTTTTTTTTTGCCAAATCTAACTTTTTAAAATAATTAATTTCTGCAGTTTTATCATAATAATGACATTATTTGATTTGAGAATATATTTTGATTCGAAAATGATATGTTTAAAGCTCGTAAAGTTACTCAATTTGTTTATAAGTCTAAAAAATGTTTAAAACTTTAAAAAATTTTCTTGGCTCTCCTAGTGAACCGATTTGAATTTTATAAAAAGAGTTTGAAAGTTAGAGCCTTCCTTTATACGTAAAAAAAATTGCAACTATCTGAGGGCCTTATTTAGGGCCTACTATAAATTTGAAAATTTGCGATTTTTTTCCAGCAGGCTGGATTGCACAATTATTATGCAAAACCTATCCGACCGATCTTAACAAAATTTAGCACACGTTTTAAACATATTAAAAAGTTTTTCTAGGCCGAATATGGAGCTTATAAGTCAAGTTTAGAAAGTCAAAAACATTTAAAGGTATAACTTCATTTTTTTGTACTTTTTTTCCAATTATTGCTATTTTTTCAACAATAAACATTAAATTTTCAATTTCTAGCTAACGAAATATTGTGTAAAATTGAATTACGTAACTTTTAACTACCTATAATTTTTTCTCTAGGATCAATATTTTCCGAACTATAAACGAAAATAGTAGCAAAAAAATGAGAAATTTTCAATTGTTTTCAGATTTTGTTAAATAAAAATTTAGCACAGTGTTTGCGACTGGCGCTTATCGTGATTATCGATATTGGGCATATCCTGAAGGGATTCCAGCAAAAAAATAGCTTCCTGTAGAAATTGTCCAATCCAAAACAGATCCCGTCTAGACTATTCTTAGAATCTAATATGCCAGCATCTAAATAATGTTTTTTACTTGTGTTTTTAAGCCTTGAAAAATCTTAATTATGCGTCTTTCTTAGTTTAAAATTATTTATACCTCGATCAAGTGTACAAAAAAACTGCACGGGACTTTTTTGTTCAAAATAATTTAAAAAATTTAAAAAAATTGTATTGGCCGAAAAAAATAGATTTTTATATTTTGTTTAATTTTTTTTTATTTGAACAACTTTTCACCTGGGTAATCTGTTGAATCTTATTTTATGTAAAAAAAAATCCTGGGAATATTTTTCGAACGAACCCGAACATTTAGCCTTGTTTAATAAAATTCTTTTTGAAACGCGTTTTAAGATATTAAGAAGTCATTAACAAATAACTATTTTAGTCCCATTTAGTGACGTAAATATTGTTGTAGTCACAAACAAAATAACGCTCCTTATGACATTATCAGGCAAACAGAAAATCAAAACAAATATTATCATAGGCAATACGTATGATGCTGGAGATGATATACGGGAATTACTAATAGAAAGTAAACTTTACAGATATAGGGCAAATTATTCTCAAATAGCTAACACAAAAATTTGCTTGTGTTGGACATGAAAATGAAAATAAAAATAAAATTTTTGGAAAAGACAGCAAAAATCATATAGTGGACGTCAAAATCTATAACAGAAGTTTTATTTAGGGGAAAATGAGAGAAAAAGTAAGTTGCAATACAAAAGAAGGTCCCAATGCAATTTAAAGAAGACTAGGTAGTATTATTACAGATCATCATCATCATCCAGCCGAATTTTCACATCCATTGTTGGATATAGGTCTCCTCCAAACGTCTCAAGTTCTCTCTATCTCTAGCTGCTGCAATCCAGTTTGTTTCTATTCTCCTTAGCTCGTCGGTCCATCGGGTGGTGGGTGGTCTGCCACGACTTCGCTTGTCGGCTCTTGGTCTCCACTCCAATAATCTCTTCGTCCATCTTCCATTCTAGCAACATGTCCAGCCCACCTCCACTTTTGTTTATTGATTCGCAGTATAATATCGTCTATATCTCTCGTCTCTTAATATACTATATTAATTTTGGTTAAATCTCAGAAACATTTGAGTACTTACTGATTACAAATTTAAAAAATGTTAAAACTGCTCTCCTTAAAAAGTAAGAAAATGGACATAGTGTCCTTTACCTCCGAGGTACTGATATGTATATGAGTAATGAAAATCACGACCACGATGTCTCGATCTACCTGTGAGTCAAATTGTGATCTTCAAATATTACTCCAATGACACGAATAAGATTTTGTGTTTAAAACACAGTTTAAGGTACTCTGAAAAAATTTTGTTAACACAAACTACTTAACTAAGTTTTTTTATACTTACTTGCCACCGCGCAAGCAATGGGCAGCGGTTAAAATGAAATTCTCACTAATTAGTGTACCTCCACAGTCCCAACTGGTATCAGGAGAGCCATAACCAATTTGAATCTAAAATAAATATGGAGGAAATGTAAATTACAATGTTAAGGTTATTTCTTAATGAAGAAGTTACTAATTTTTGCTCTCTAAAACAACTAATTCAAAAGTCGCTAGCGTACATTTTCCAATTAAGTCTGCAAATTAACTAATTCTGAGTATACAATATCAAAATTAAACAGAACTCTCTCAACATATATATTTATATATATTCATATAGGTATATATATATATATATATATATATATATATATATATATATATATATATATATATATGTATGGTGAAACATCTCTAGTAAAATAAGTTTAAAAAGAATTGAGAGTTAAATCAAGAAAAGTACGATTGGAATACCTGCTTATAAGTGGACGAAATGTATAACAAGATGCTTTCTCTTTAATATCCAATTTAATGTTTATTCAAACTCAGATACGAAACATTGGTACAAGAAATTGAGTACACCTGTAGTATAAATTAGGCAGAAATAAGGTACTTTAGATTTAATAACTCTATTATTTTCATACGACCAATTGTTCTCGTTGAAGACATTGATAATACTAAATATTTGATTGGAAAATTCATGAAAAAAGTCAACTAGTGGTGATTGAAAATTATCATTAGGAAATAAAAGTACATGACAGTAGTCTTTATTCAGAGATTTCAAAATAACTGATTAGATATCTTAACTGTCCACCGATTCGACATCTTAACTGTCCACCGAGAGTATACCATTGATTTATCTTCTTGTATCTTTATAGTATTATTTTTTTAAAGTATTGTTTTTTTATATTTTTTTATATATTTATATTCTGAAAACAGTTTTTGAAATATATGCTATGGAATGAAGATCATAAGACTGTTAAACATATAATAGGGCTTATAATTCCAATAAGTCCTAGTGACCATGCCATTGTTTTCTCCGATGTGAAGGGTGTAGTTGTCCCGGTTTGACATTGGGACGCTGAAGAAATAAAATAAGTGATCGACAATAATGAAACTGTTGCAAAAAATGCTCACTTATCACTTGATCTCTTCTTTTTTTCAGTAGGGGTGATTAAAAGTTTCTTCCTCCCTGCCTCTGTTGTTGTCTTTTTCGTACAGGAAGAAATAAATTACGCAAAGATTAGGACAAACAAGAACAGCAATCCACGACTTAACTCAGTATGGTGGGATAGACATCTAAATATGAAGGCAGAAACACAGACTTATAAGTATTATGACTGACATGTCAAGCTGAAAATTGGATTAAAAATAAGAAAAACAGCAGTAAGATAGTAGCAACAAAGATGGAATGCCTGCGAAGATGCTGCAGAGTAACAAGAATGGATAGGAAAAATAATGACGAAATAAAGCAAAGAACATCAATAGAAACAGACATACTAACATATATAGAAAAAAAAGGCTATAGTGGTATGGACATGTAAGAAGAACTAGCGACAGCAGATGGATAAAGAGAATAACGGAATGGAGCCCCATAGAAAGGAGGAAAAGAGGATGACCCCGAAGATTGTGGAGGAACGAAGTAAACGACGCCATGAGTAAGAGAGGCCTAAACGATGGAGAATGGGACAACAGAGAGAGATGGGAACGATTGAGAGAGAGAAGGCAGTGAATATTGTAGAATCCCTGAATATATATATATATATATATATATATATATATATATATATATATATATATATATATATATATATATATATATATATATATATATATATATATATACGGATATATTGGGTTTAGTAGTCAATATATTGGCCTTTAAGTAAAACTCCTTTAGGTTTGCTAAGCTTTCGAGTTTATTTTACTCTTTTTCAAAACATACTAAAAATTAACATAAAAAATTTACATTAGAAAAATGAAGTTCTTATGTCTTAAATAGGCTTACCCTTGTGAGAATTGTCTTTTAAAATTAGCAAAATTTTACATTTTGTCATTATGTCATTAACATAATGACATTAAATTTGATTTACTTTTTATTTCTGTCAAAACTTATTACTAAGGTTTCTTATTATATATATATTTATATATAATGAAGTAAGTTTCAAAAAAAAAAATCTTTTGATCACGAGGATATCGGTCAAAGGAGAAATAATACAGGGAAATCACAGTTCCATTCCTATATTTGAAGACGTTTCGCTTGTGGAATTTACGAGTTTCATCAGTTCAATCTGAAAAATATTTCAATGGTGGTAGGCAATAATATACAAAAACATGGAAAAATAACTTACGAATGGTGAGTGAAGAATAAAAAGGTGTTAAACAAACACACCATTCCCTTGTTAACTGTGGTCAATACATTAAAATGTCATCTACTGCGCCGTGGTCAATAGTGCTTGCGCGCACTCTACCAAGCTCAATAAAAAAGCCGTCAACATTGCACGTAAAAACTAACTTACAACAGTAATTTGTAGATATAAAATTAACAAATTAAAAAATAACTAAAACGCACTGGCACAGAGCTAAATTGTCATAACAAAAAGATTTTGTACTTCACTTTAGGGCGCATTTCACTCTAACGGATTCTAACCCGAAAACGGAAGGCAAACTGCCGGCATTTTCAATGCAGTAGAATGTCTGAATTTATTAGTTGTGAGTTCATCTAACTTTTGGGGAAGAATGAGACGAGCAGGCGCAATACACAAGAAACGCAAACCTACAACGCAGAGGACACTGAAGTAAATAGAATTGTTAAGTGGAAACGTCTACAAAACCAATATGTAGTGAAGAAAGTTTGGAATCTAGAATTTATAATGGCGATTAGTCAAGAAGGGAAAATATGAATTGTCAAATAAGTGAGGGTTTAATGTAAATTAGGTATGCATCAGTATGTGATGTGAAAGGTTGAAAGTAAGAGTAAGTGTTAGTGGGAAATAAAAAGAAATGTGATAGGTAGCTGGGATGTGGTATTAAATGATCAAAGGAAACGGCAATGAAATAGTCTGGATGACAAAAACAACGTCAAAAAATTTCTCATTTGATATTGGAGAGAAGAGAATGGTACACTAAACTGAGGTTGTCGATGTCAGTACGTTTATTCATGGTGGAAGGATTGAGGAAAATGTGGCACATTTTAAGGGAGCTTCTCTTGAAATGGTTGCTTTCTGTGCAAAGAATTTTGACATGTTCATAATCTGGGCGGTGGTCAGACGTAAGAATGTGTTGTGCTAAGGCACTGGAATGTTTATGGCATCTAATATCACTCTTGTGAGAAATTAGTTGACCTTTAAGGGATCTACGAGTCTGGTCAATGTAACATAGGTTACAATCCATACAGGGGATGTTGTAAACCACATTGATCTTTTCCAACAGGTTTAAAGGGGGTTTAGTTTTAGAGAATAGTTTACCAACTGATCTGACATTTTTAATTCCAATTTTAATTGGTGTAGATGTTAGGAGTTTTGTGAGCTTTTCAGTCAGATGAGAAAAATAAGGGAGAGAGTAGTAACGTAAAGGAGAAGAAGGAACGTTATAGGAGTCGTTTTCTGGTGTGCCTATTGAGATGTCAGGTTGACCCTGTACTTGACTATTATTCAAACTATATCTAGAAAGTTTGTAACTAGTGGAGAAAAGAACTTTATTAGTTACAAATAATGGATAAGAATTCTGTAACAAAATTGATTTAAGAAGGCTAAGAGAATCCCTTCGGTAAGAAGCATGTGTCAACCTATGAACCCTAAAACTAAGAGCTTGTACGAGGTTGTATTTGTATCTCATCGCATGGCATGAGTGGTAATTAAGAAAACGGTTACTAGCCATTTCTTTTCTATACCAAGAAGTACTTAACCTAAGGTCAGTTTTGATGTAGTTTCTTCATGTAGTGAAGTCCTACTTCTGTTTGTCAAATTATTTCTTTATAATTGGGTCAAATATCTGATAATTATGTTAAAAATCTGTTTGTTATTTTTATTTTGCTCGTTTGTTCGCCTGTATCTTATTATTCCTACTTACAGGTCCCTAGTTGTGATATTTATACTGTAAATAGGTACGTTTAAACTTTTTTTTATTTAAGTTAAGATAATTAAATTACGAGTAAGAGACTGGACTCAATTAATTAAATATACTAAATAGATCACCAAGTAGAAATGCAAAGATTTTCATTGACGAAACCAAAATTTGGATTTTTCCTTCAATCTGTGGGCTTAAAGGTCTTTTAAAGGTCTTAGAGATGTAAAGGAAATCTAAAAGTTGCATTCTACAATTTATCTCCTTATTTAGCAAAAATCTTCTTATACTCATAAAAAGAAAAATAAAATAAAAGAAAAGACAGTTAAGATTTAATTTCAGATATAGTTTCTTTGTATATTGGCTTATAAGTATTTCATCCTACCAGCATTTATCAGAGGCACTATAACAAATCACTATAGGTGATTTTCACTTCAACATACTCTATCCCAAATATAACAAATTACATATAGTTTTACTATACGTGAAATAAACGATACACAGATAATATTCAGAAAACGATTAGGTACAAGAGAAGCTCTCTTTGCCTTAAATGTACTAACACAGAGATGTCGAGATGTTAACCAAGAGGTGCATGCCTGCTTTATAGACTTTGAAAAGGCCTTTGACAAAGTGCGATACAATCAACTCAAAGAAATCCTGGAAGGTAAGAACATCGACACCAGAGACATACAAATAATATTAAATCTGTACTGGAATCAGCGAGCTAATATAAAGGTAAAAGACCAAACATCGGACGAAATAGAAATACGTAGAGAAGTACGACAGGGTTGTATATTGTCACCGCTTTTGTTTAATATCTACAACAAACAAATATGCCAAGAAGCTCTCTCAGAGGCAAATGAAGGGATAATAGTCAATGGAGAAGTTATCAATAACACTCGATATGATGACCATACTGTGATAATGGCAAGATCTACACAAGCCACAGCGGACGATCTACAACATCTAGTTGAAAGTATGAATGAGATATGTAATAACTACAGCATAAGGATGAACGTCAAAAAAACCAAATATATAACCTTCAGTAAGAATCCAATAGGAGATTTCGGGTATGGTCAGAGAAATGATAGAGGTAATACTTTGATGAACTACCTAGAAGAAAAGCATCTATACGCAATGAACTCCTTTTACAAAAAGAAGCCCCAACGAAAGTGGACATGGATCAGCCCTAATGGATCCACAAAAAATGAGATCGACTTCATATTGTCCACGGAACGATATATCATTAAAGATGTAACAGTTCTTAACAGATTCACAACAGGTAGCGATTACAGGATGGTCAGAGCAAAAATTAGTATTAACGGTAACTATAAGATGAAAAGAAAAATAAGTAAAAACTGGAATCTAGTAGATAGAAACAAATTAGGGCAATATAAAGAGATATACGAGGACCTATTAAAAGAACAACTTACCCAAAGATTAGACAGTGACGATAAAGATATAGACGAAATAGACAACATACTTACAAAGTAAGTGGAAATATAAACGAAGCAGAGGAAGGTTCCAAATGAGATGGGCAGATGATATCAAGAAGCACGTGGGCTCTTGATGGATGACTATAGCGACAGACAGAGAAGAATGGACAAGGATTGGGGAGGCCTATGGCCAAAGATGGACCAAAGAAGGCTAATTAGATAGATAGATAGAGAATAATCCAATACATGACACTAGTATCGCAATAAACAACACCCAACTTGAAAAAGTAAGCGAATACAAATACTTGGGAACCCTCATTAATGAAACAGGTGACCAAAATCACGAGATAAAAAGACTTATTGAAATTGCCATGTCTACCTTTATAAAAATGAAAAAATTATTTTATAATCGTGATATCAGTATTTATCTACGAACTAGAATGTTAAAATGCTATGTATTCAGTACTTTGTTTTACGGTGTTGAGGCATGGACTCTTAAACAGAGGAATGTTAAAAGTCTTGAAGGCTTTGATATGTGGTGCTACCGCCGTATACTAAAAATAAGTTGGGTGGATAAAATTACAAATGAAGAGGTAATACGCAGAATAAATAACGATTCAGAAGTTATACTTAATATGAAAAAAGGAAAACTTGAATACTTCGGCCACCTAATAAGAGGACAAAAGTACACATTCCTACAAAATATAATGCAAGGAAAGATCCAAGGACGCAGAAATCCAGGCTGTAGAAGAATGTCCTGGATGAGAAATTTAAGAGAGGGGTTTGGCTGTACCACTAACGAATTATTCAAAACAGCAGTATCGCCATAATGATATCCAGGAGAGGCGCTCAAAGAAATTAAATACCTGAAATCAAATCTTAACTGCCTATTCTTTTATTTCGGTTTACTCTTTACGAGTACAAGAAACCAATTCGCTAAGGATTTTTGCCTTGTTGAGGAGATATGTTGTGAAATGCAACTTTTAGATTTCCCATACCAAGGTACAGAGGTAAGCAACAATCTGAATCATGGTTTCGTCAATAGATATCTTCGCATTTCTACTTTGGTGATTTATTTTCAGATCTTGCTATAACGTCCACATTGAAGCCATTTTATCCTGGTATGATGAAATATGTATAAGCGAATATACAGAGGCACTATACGTGAAATCAAATCTTACCTGTCTTTCCTTTAATATTTAATATATTTACGTGACATTTAATTTAGTTAATGGTATTTACTACTATTGACATCATCTTTGTGATCTTGGTATTGTTGTAGCTCCCCAATTCACAGTCTCTTCTATAAAAAGGTTCTATTACAACTTTGATTTTACTTCCGATTTACTGTACATATTATATACATACGACATTTGAAGCAAATAATATAATTATTTAGAGAAATTTTTTAGTAAAAAAAAATTAGACATATTTTTTATTTTCAGGTGAACTAATTGAATTCTTGGCTGAATACGGGATAAAATAGAGTGTTTAAAATAATTACCATATGTGGGAATTCTTTTCGTCCTGCTTTAGTTCCACCTACAATCAGGGGTTGCGTAGAAATTGGACATTCCAAAATAGTTGAGAAGCTTGTGAGGATTGACAATGTAGGACTCTCAATCTTCTCATACGCGTATTGGGAATACGCTTTGCACACTAAAACATAAAAGTTTACACACTAAAACATAAAAGCAATACTATAATTAATGTGTAAATGCTTGAAATGCACAAATATTTCACAAAAAATTTCCGAAATTAGATTCTAAAAGAGACAAAAGTTTACTGAAATATTTAACAAAAAAACAAGTGGATGCTGCGCTAAATTAGACATAATTCCGTAAATTTAAACTGTAAAGTGATACTAGTAGAAAAGTTTTGGGAAAGTTCTGATTTTTTCATTCCATATGTGTTTTGGGGTGCTAAATCTGAATCTGAGGTTTGCGGACAAAATTTCGTGACGCAACATTTAAAAAACCAGAAGAAATCGTTTTTTTTTTGCTTTTTTCCGGTTTTTTGCTTAAAACTCGAAAACTGTTAATTTTTAGTAAATGGTCTGTTTACAGAAATTAAAGTACTTAAAGTTCTGTGTAAAATGACGCCAAGGTCAGACATATGCAGACATATGCAGCAGTTATGTATCATATGTCAAATCAAACTACAAATCAAGTGGTATTGTCGTTTTTGATGGCTACCCTGACGAGGCTTGTGGTAGCACCAAGCGTTTAGAACGATTGAGAAAAGCACAAAGAAAACAATCTGCTGCAATATCATTAACAGAAATGATGGTGCCCACTGTGTCGCAGGATAGTTTTCTTGCAAACCCAAAAAACAAGAGCCTGTTTATATCTATGTTAATGGAGAAACTTCATGATGCAAAAATTCATTCAAAACAAGCTGTGGAAGATGCTGATATCCTAATTATCTCAACAGCTCTTGAGATGGCCCATCAAATAAACATGTGACAGTGGTGGGAGAAGATATCGACCTACTGGTCATTTTGATTGGCGTTTATTGCCCTAATATAAAAAATGTATTTTTTTTTGAAGCCAGGAAAAGAAAAGGTTTCGCAAAGCCTCTACAACCCTCATCTGGCTGCTGAGAAAATCCTATTGGATCATATTTTATTCCTGCATGCGATGAGTGGTTCTGATACTTCTTCTGCATTGTTTAATTAAGGGAAACTGAAATTTCTTAAAGTCCTGCAGAAGAATAAAGATTTGCAATCGCTCATTGAATCTTTCAAATGCCCTAATTCAAGTCAAGATGAGATTGCCACAGCAGGAAACATGTTTCTCACGGCTCTATTTGGAAAAAAAGAGACACAACTAAACGATTTAAGATATAAATCGATGGCATCGGGTCCTGAGCCAGGACATCGAAGAACCTCACTACGATGCGGAAGGTATGTTAAATCTCACAATCTATTTTGCAATCTTCATCTCTTCTTGATAAATGACTTAACTTTAAACTTTTATTTTTCAGAACAAGCAGAACCAGGACTCATCGTTATCGAAGAACATCAGCCAGGGCCTTCCAAAAGACAACGGCTCATATAAATTTTGCATATTATAATTTATAATCATAATAATATAAATGATCAGAAGTGACGAGATTTTAAGTTTTATTTTGTTACAAGTTCTACCTACCTACTGAATTTGCATAATTTTTCCCTTTTTTCTTTTTTAATTACTTGTGTGGAAAACTAGGTGACATTTATCAAATGACAGCATCCATAACAATTAAATATTAAAATGTAAAAGTGGGTTTTGCATAAAATGCTAAAAATTTACAAATTTTACGTCTGAAAAAAAAACTAAATACTGGTATTTGTAGAAAATTTTAAGTACTTTAATTTCTGTAAACAGACCACTTACCAAAAGTTGATAGTATTCGAGTTTTAAGCAAAAAACCCGAAAAAATAAGAAAAAAAAACGGTTTATTCTGTTTTTTTAATGTTGCGTCACGAACTTTTGTCCGCAAACCGCAGATTCGGATTAAGCACCCCAAAAAACATATGGAATGAAAAAAATCAAAACTACCCCAAAACTTTCCTAGCAAAAATACAATTTAACTGAACTAACATGCAAAAAATTAACGGACTGCATAAATCCTAGGCCTCTCTCAAATCCTATATAAATCAATAGTTTTTGAAGATTTCTTAACAGGCCTAAATGTAGAAGAGCACGTAGTGAAAATTAAACAAAAATTAAAAAAATCGCGAACAAGCGACGTTCTCTACATAAAGCTCAAACACTACAAAAGCGACTGAAATCTAGGAAAAACTTTCTTGGTACAGCCTGATTATAGATATTTGAGAAATTTAAAGAGATAGATCAATTGATGTACAAGGGGTAACGAACAAAATATATCCATGTAGAGACATTAGATCAAATGACATCTGTTTTAATAGTTCTTATTACATATTTTGCCTTGTTACAGGATAGTATTCAGAAAAACGCAAAAATAATTACTGTAAAATATAATTTCATTAGGTACAATTATAAATTATATTTAAATAATTATAACTGTTAGGTCTATTTAATCAAAATAATGTTTTTATCTGGTTTAAACTCTGTAAAAAGAGCACGCATTTATTAGTGACGATTTCACTATCAGAAAAATATTAAGTAAATAAAAATGTGGCGTCAATTGGAGAATAATGCATTAGAAATTGTTGAGAGTAATGAAGTAGAAATTGTTGAGGAAAATAAGGAAATTCTACCGTCAAATAATCCTGAAAATGTTGCTGGACCAAGTATAGGAGATATTAAAAAGCCAAAAAAAAAATATTTATCGAAAGACGCTAAAGAAATTGTGTTAAATGTGTTTAATGGATTATGTGAATAACCGGAACGGCACGAGAGTGTTTTAAAAACTGCAGCTTTAGCAAAAGTTTCATGTGCTACTGTATATCGAATTATAAAGGAGGACATTACAAATAAACAAAAAAGGAGCGACTTTAGACTACATCGATCTATTAAGCAACATCTTTTAGGTCCCATTTAAGAAACCATTTATAATATCGTCCCTACCATTACCAACTATCGAATGTGAAAAATCGGGTTTTTCAGATTCGATACCTTGTCCTTGCATTAGACGTGACACACCTTGTAGCAAAATATCGAAACTGTAGCTTGATAAGGAACGCGGGAAAATTGTGTTTAAACCATCGAATATGAACATTTTGATATTTTGTTTTGGTCAAAATATCGAATATACTGCAAACTGACGAAATTAAAATATTTGATACTTGTGTTTTGTATAAATATAAAGACATATTTGTACAACGCAAAATGACGAATATGTCACATTCATTAGTTTTAGCGTTGTAATTGATACAGTTATTCAATTATAATCTGCAAACTGTCGAAAATACTAAAAATTGTTGACAAGAAAAAACGCATGTGTTCACAATTGTGTGAATTATTGCTTCCAAGAAGTTCTTTCGGCGAGGCACTTTATCATTTTGTTTTTATCGATTTCTCATTATCTGATTATTCAGTGATTTTGTCACAATGGGAATTATTTAAAAAAAAAATAAAAGAATGCTGCCTTTGAGACGTCGTCCACACAGTGTAATTCTCCTTTTCATCACAAACACCTCGAAAGAAAGATGCAGCAAGAAAAAAAAGGGATGAAGATAAACAGTCGGATTTAATAGAATAGGAAAATATAAGCATTTAATTTCGATCTTCAATTTGTTTTGTCAACGCCAAGGAGCTGCAGGACCTTGTGTTTATGTGAAAAACTTATTATAATTTTACCATTTATTATTTAAGAGAAGGGAGCGTCCAGTGTTTCATATAGGATGAAACCGAGGGAAAACGCGGTGGTACTGAAATTGCTACATGTATATTTAAATACATCATGTCTTACCCTGATATTAAACATGTCAAAACTGATGTCCGACAATTGCGGAGGACAACAGAAAAACTTTGCTTTTTCTGCCATGTGTCAATATGTTGTTAATTGTCACCCAAATTGAAAAACAATTGACCATGTGGTTTTTGTACCGGGTCACTCAGAAATGGAATACAATTATGTCCATTAGAAATTGAATCTCACTTAAAAAATTCCCCTGTATAGGTACATCCTTAAAGGATGGACACAAATCATAAGACTTGCACGCACTAAGCCATGTCCGTTTGAAATGACATACCTACTTCGTACCGACTTCTTAGATTTCAACCAAAGAAAGGTAACATTTGCACTAGAAAATAAAATAAAACCAAAAAACAAACAAAATCAATATGAAAAAGAAAATGACGTAAAATATGAAGAGCAAGCAAATAATTTAAATACTAATTTTAAATATAGTGATGGTATATGGTAACAGTATCGGCAAAATGAAAATAAATTTTTATGAAGACTAGAATCGATGAAAACTTTTTACCTCTTGAAACCAAACAGAAAAGAGGCAAACAAAGTAGTATCAACGTGTATGTAAACAAAACTTATTACCTAGGCCATACCACCAATATTACCTATCTTTACCAATATCTAGTACTGACAAAGATTGTCTTCCAGAACCTGACGCAACTGAAGACAACGATAACGTTTAATTCAAATTTTAAAACCTTTGAATTTACCATTCTTTTACAACAACTAAGGGCCATGACTGAGTACTTGAGGTATCTACAGGACGTGAAGTTGTAGATTGTTGTTGAAGATGTAATTTAAAACGGTAAAATGTGGTCTTCCGGGGGTCTTGAACCGGGCGGATTGTTTTCTAGTCCAATTGTTGGGAGTCTATTCTCATCCATTCGTCTTACATAGTTGTACCACATCCTCTTGCGCTGCCTTCCCCATCTTACAATATCTTGAATTTTGCACTGCTCTCTAATGTTTGTATTTCTCACTCTGTCTCTTCTTGTTTTCCCCATTATTGTTCTTAGGGTTTTCATTTCGGCAACCCTTAGCATCTGTTTCGTTTTGTTGGTATATTCGCGCACTTCTATGCCATATGTCATGATCGGTCGTATGCAAGTCTTATAGATTCTAATTTTACTATCTGTGTGCATATACGGATTTGACCAGACTATCTCCCGCAGACATCCTGACAGTGCAGATGCTTTGTTGATCTGACTCCTCAGGTCCTTTACTGGGTCGTGGGTGCTTGATATATCTATGCCCAGATATTTGAATTGCATCACCTGTTCTATGGGGTTGTCCTCAACCACTAACTTACATCTGAGCGGATCTTTTGCTATTGTCATACATTTAGTTTTGTTGGTAAAGATGTTCATATTTGGTAGTCGGCTTTTTTGAAAGAACTGGAAGAGCTGCCTTTGGAGATCATCTTCTGATTCGGCAATAATTGCTGCATCGTCTGCGTAACACACCATACCAATTCTTTTGTTGCCCATTCTATATCCGAGATTAAGAGATGTTACTTTATTAATAATTTTGCCCATGAGAAAATTAAACAAGAAGGGGCTTAAACTGTCGCCTTGTCTAATTCCTCACGGTGTTGGAATTTTTTCAGTAAATTCGTCTCCTGCTCTAACTTTGGTTACGTTGTTGTTATTTAGGTTATGGAGTATCTTTGTTATACTGGTCGGTGTTTCATTTTCTATTAATATATTTAGAATGTCTCCCAGGCGAACTCTGTCAAATGCCTTCGTCAAATCAATGAAGCAAATATACGCTGGCATGCCGAACTCTATAGCTTTTTCTTTTATTTGTTTTATTATAAATACTGCGTCTTTTATAGACCGCCCTTTTGTAAAACCTTGTTCTTCAGCATTAGTGATTTGCTTTTCCAATTTGTCCTTGAGAATACCCGTGAAAAGTTTCATTGTTGTATTTAAGAGGGTTATTCCTCTATAGTTTTGCGGGCAGGTTTTTTGTCCTTTTTTAAATATGGGGATTGTGATACTATTATGCCATTCCTCTGGTGTTTCTGTTTTGTTTAATATTTTGTTAAATAGTTGTGCCAGATTACTTGCAAGTTCCGGGCCTCCATATTTTAAAAGTTCATTGGGTATACCATCCGTTCCCGGTGATTTTCTGTTTTTAACCTTTTTGACCTTTGCTTCTACTTCTTCGTCATTGATTGTAGCAGTCACAACTGTTTCGCCCTCGTTTATATTCATCGTTTCTTCAGCATTATATGGCTCTTTAAAATGCTGTTGCCATGTCTCTATAGGTACTCCTTTGGTCTGCACGAACTCGTTAACTGGTTTTTTCCTGTTGCGGAGCATTTTCCATACTTTCTTTTGGGCACCATATAGGTCGTAGTCCATGTCGCAAGTGAATTTGGCCCAATGTTCTCTTTTGATTGATTTTATTCTGGCGTTTACTTCGTTTCTTATTTGGACATATTCTGCATGAGCTTTTTCCGATTGCGTGCTTTTATATCTCAGGTAGCATTTGCGTTTTAATTCAGAGAGTTCTTTTACCTGTTGGCAAAACCACGGTTTGGTGTGGTTTGTCGCTCTCGTGTTAATTTTCCGCTTTCCAATCGCTTCTTCTGCTGCTTCGTTGATGCATTTCTTAATTTTTTGCCAAGTATCTTCTACTCCCCATTCGGGTTTTAAGTCGATCTCTTTTAGTTTGCTGGTAATCCTGTTCTCATAGAGCAGTTTTGTACTCTCTTTTGCTAGCGACTCTATATTTTGTAGCGGTAAAGTCGGTAGTAAACAAATTCAAAATAGTCATTTTTTTGTAAAATTTTATGTCATGTATAATTCGAATTTATTGTCAGAAAACCGCTAAAAGTTATTTGGAAGCTGAAAAACGAAGGAAAAGCGCTAAAAAAGGCGAGAAAATCGCATGTTTTTGGACTCTTATAGGGCGCAGCGGCAACATATAAAAAGGATTTCTAAGATAACTTTCGCGAAGCCTTCGAGATGTGGATATAGAGAAGGATACTAAAAATGTCTTATGTAGACCATGTCACTAACGTTGAGGTCCTACAGCGCATGACAAAAGAAAAAGAAGTGCTTTATTTAATTAAACAACGTAAGCTTGAGTACCTCGGTTACGTGATGCGGAACGAAGAAAAATATCGAATTCTTCAACTCGTTATGCAGGGTAAAGTATTTGGCAAAAGGGGACCGGGACGCCGTCTTATCTCGTGGTTGAAAAATCTCCGACAATGGTTTGGGTTGACCTCAGCGAAGCTGTTTCGCAGAGCAGTCAACAAATCCATGATAGCCTTGATGATCGCCAACATTCGGACTGGATAATGCACTGAAGAAAAAGAAGAAGAGAACTTTTGTTCGAAAGTACTTGTATTAAGGCGTCTTTTTTGAAAATTTGAAAAAAATTAAAGAGGGTGTTTTTGAGATATGAATTTTTTAAAAAAGCGCTTTGTTTTTTTTATCATTTTAAAAAAAATGATAAAAAGCGTGAAATTTCAATAGCGCGCCACGGCCGCCATTTTAAATATTAAAGTCTGAAAATTTGACAATCATGTTTTTTTGTCTAGTACAACATGTGTGTAAAATTTCAGCCAAATCTAAGGGTGTGACCCAACTGACTTGTGTCGATTATTGCTGGAATTATCCAGGACTATTATCAAGCATTATTTGTAATATTTATAATTTTGACTTACTCTCATTAGCTTTGTCTCCTGGCTGATTACCAACTCGGTTTGGTGTCCTAGTTGTAACTTTTTGCGTAGTGGATTGGGTTATAATTGGCCGTACAGGGGGAGGCGTTGCTTGTCTTTGTGGTACACAACAAACTATCACCTGTGTATCGTCATATCCGCAAATATCCGTTGGATATATGCCCTTCTTAATGTTATCTTTGGCAGTTTGGCATTGCGTGAGATATTTACAGACTCCTGCCGACCCTCCTTCTGTGAAGCACTCTTCACCCACTAAAATAAAAGGTAAATACTAAAATACTAAAAAAGTACACTAAAATTATTTAGATCGAAATAATAACAACTTTGACATAATCTGTACAGAAACATTTAGTCTGATCGTTGATTAAAAAAGATCGTTGTGGAAAGATGCACTTAATATTAGAGAAATAGAAAAGGATCAGGAGCATGTTAAATTCATCTACAAAATGTAGTTTTGTTGGTACTTTAGTTATTTATTAGATATAAGACTGATATTGAGAAATAAAATAAAATTGTAGGTAGGGTAACTAAAAGATTAAGTGTTTGTTTTTTAAATGTTAGGATCTATCATGTCGTATAATGTCATTTAGGATGGTGCAGTAGTATTTATTAAAGTGATTGGTGTCTGTCTTATAATTGATAGATTCTAGAGTTTTGTTAATGTTTATTATTTTAAGGAAAATTCCGTTTTCATAATTATAATATTATTATTATACCTTTTTAAGGCTTTTACATTATTCACCTTAAATGTATGGCCTGTCGTCAAATGGTCGTCTACTAAGGCATAAGGGTATTTTTTTATGTTACAATCATATTTGTGTTAAGTGACACGTTACTTAAGCCACTGTTGACTTTGACCAACGTAATAACTTTGAAACTCCCTGCAATTTATTTGTTAAATTAAGTTATTTATGAATAAACTTTGGTTAACTTTTATTTTTAAGAATAACCTTGAATTTATAGCGATTATATAATTTATTGCAATAACATTTTAATATTACATTTAAAAATGCGTGTAATCCAATATAACAATTATTGTTCGCACTCCAGCAAAATCATTCGTAATACGAGCACGATCGCCCGTAAAAACGGTCGTACTGGTGTACGATAAACGTGGAGACACAGCCGCACTGAAAGGGTTAAAAACATTTTAAAATGTTTCGTTAAATTAATATCTAGAAAATTCCGATTACAGATTGCCGTTAGTCGATTTTTCATAGATATAATTGTGTTAAATTTTTATTTCTACTATAGTTTAGATAATAATTTATATATGTAGTAGTGGGAACATTAGTGTCCTTAGTTAGTATTAGTGTAGTTACCGTTGGATTAGATAACATGGCGACATATGACTCCACGTTGAAGTTAGACTCCACCTAATCCAACGGTAACTTTAACATCCTAAAACATTATAAGAAAATTTGTAAACTAAATGTAATTAATTATTTGTTAACGGGTTTTTACCCATGTATTTAGTGGCTACATTCATGTACTCTTAGATACTAATGATGGAATATGGATTCCGAAAACGTTTTGTGTTTTGAACTTAGCCCGTTTGGGCCTAAATATATACCTTTTACAAAGGATTTTTAATAAATTTGTTAATATATGGTATACAGCCAACTACAGGAACGTAGATTCCTTGTGAATAATTTAAAATAAATACATGTTCTGTAAAAATATAAAAAAGAAGTAAAGTGCTTAAGGAAGCGCTTAATTTTCGTCAGTGGTCTTCGCGTTTTTCGTCACACTTTGTTTATTTTCATCTGCATATAGTTTAAAATAAAACTGTTCAAGGAAGTTTGTTTCTTTCTCCCTTTAAGAATATCGCTTATATTCTAATTTTTTCTCATAAAACTATTTTCTCTCTGAACCACCATATGCAGCTGCGAATGTAGTTTGTCTTACCCCTTGGGTGTCAGATTCTGAGACTGTTCCTCGACAAGTTCGTTCATATCTCTTTCATCCACCTCCAGACCCATGGATTTTCCAAGAGAAACAATATCGTCTACCACTGACACTTCGGGTTCCAGTCCTTCGCAGGCCCTTTTATCTACAGCCTCAAGCCAAAGCTTCTTTCATGCAGAAGTTAAGGTTCTTGTTATAACACCTAGCCAGGTCTGCTCAATAATTCTTAGGCATATTATTATGTTAAAGTGGTCCTTCCAGAACTCTCGAAGGGTAGGGGTTCTCCATCACTTTAAAGCAGCGCCGAAATATGTGCTTGGTATACAACTTCTTAAAATTAGAAATCACTTGGTGATCCATGGGCTGCAAGATAGGAGTAGTGTTGGCTAATAGGTAGAAAATCTTTTCAAACTTGAACTCTTGGAGTAAATTATCTTCGAGATTTGGTGCATGAGAAGGGGCATTCTCAAAGACAAGAAGGAATTGCATGGGTAGGTTGTTTTGCTGTAGGTATTTCTTAACCAGGTTTATCCACCCCACAAAGAATTTCCTGGTAACCCACTACTTTGGATTTACCTTTTACATAACTAGCAGTTTTTTTTCTACAATCTTGTGGGACTTAAAGGCTCTGGGATTTTTTTAATGGTACACTAAAAGAGGTTTGATTTTACAGTCACCTCGTATTGGCACAAAGTAGTACAGTAAATATATCTTTCATAGGTTTGTGACCTGGCATCGTCTTCTCCTCTGCCGTTATGTAAGTCCTATTCGGCATCTTTTTCCAGAAAAGCCCTGTTTTGTTACAGTTAAAAACTTGCTAGGGATGTATCCTTTGGCTTCGATCAGTTCGGAAAACGTTTTGATGTAAACCTCAGCTGCTTTTACATCCAAACTTGCTACCTCACCATGCCTGACGACGAAGTGAATACTGGTCCTTTTTCTAAAGTTGTCAAACCAGCCTTGACAGGAATTAAACGAATCTCCGATTCATAAATTGTGGAAGTGTGTGAGATTTGCTTCAGCAAATCCTCGTAAATCGCTCGTGCCTTCTCACATATGATGCTTTGTGTTAAGGTTTCTCCTTGATGCAGCTTCTCTGTCACTCACACCATTAGTAGTTTCTCCATATTTTCATAGAGAGAAGTCCAGTGCTTTGAAATTATTGTAACGCCCTTAGCTGGCATTATACCATTTATCACCTCCTGGGTATACCCGTACATCCTCGCCGAGTCAGTTACTCGTAAATCTTGGTCATGTTTTTTAATAGACATCATTTCACGTTTTAGTTCAATAGACATCATATTCTTTTTCGAACTCATGGTTTTAAAAATAAATGTAATATTGTAATGTACAAAAAGTAAAAAAGCAAACGCAACAAATCAACAGTATTTCAAAAATGAAGGAAACAAGCAAAGCAGACAGAGTGAGGACAATAGTAAACATTTACACAGTGTAAAGTACACCAACATCGAGAGTGCAATACAGTTAGTATTAGAATCAGAATTTTTGTCGGATTTAGCTTCCAATGACCATTTCATTTGTCGGTTCAGGAAATAGTCTTGTACAGACCCGTAAGATGTTCTTTATGACGAGGTCGTAAAAAACTATTAACAGTAAAACTACCTTTTATTTTTTTTTTATTTTTTTAAAAGTGAAACTGGAACAAACCATGAAGTGGAGATATCCAGATATCCAGTGCGACCTTTTATTTATAAAGCAAATTCATCATCATCACAGTCATTAACATCTTAGTAGATGTGTTTTGGTTCATAATTGGGCTTCAGCAGCTCGGACAGTTTGATTGATAATATTTCTCCACTGGTCGCGGTCATCAGTTATATGTATTGCCTCAGTATACTGTTTATTGAGAAGCTTTTTAGTAATGTCCGCCCATCGCTGTGGAGATCTTCCGCGTTGGCGTTGAGTCTGAGGCCTTCCTTGGACCACCAACCGCTCCATTTTGTGATCACTTCGATGGATATGGCCAAAGAACTTTAAAATCCTAGAGTAAACGGTACTAGAGAGACGCTGATCCGGTTTAATTTCATCCAGAACCGAGATATTTGTACGGCGAGCCGTCCATGGAATTCGAAGCAGGCGTCTCCATGTCCACATTTCAAAGGCGTCTATACGTCGTCGATCTGATTCTTTGACTGTCCATGTCTCGCATGCATAGTAAAATATGGAAAAGACCAGAGTTGAAACGAGTCTCTTTTTGTTTGTCATAGTAATGTGACGATCACGCCAGACCCCGTTTAGTTCACTCATTGCTGCTCTTGCTAGTTGAATGCGTCTTCTAATTTCGGGTTCACAACTGCCTGTGTTGTTTACTAGAGCTCCAAGATATATCATAGATGAGACTACCTCGCATCCCGCAATAGTTTGGGTTTCAGGAAACTGTTGTTGGCGATCAATAACCATGATTTTGGTTTTGTTGTAGTTAACCATGAGTCCAAATTTAGCACTTTCTACCTCGAGTTTTTTTAATAATTTAGTAATTTCTTCTGGAGTAGAAGCTAGAAGTGTAGTGTCGTCTGCGAAACGCAAGTTAGATATCTTAACACCACCTAGGTTTACTCCTCCCTCATAACCATCCAAAACTCTGCGCAAAAAAAAACTTCTAAAGCAAATTAGAAGTAGTCAAATAAGAGGTATGAATTTGAATAAAAACCGATTCCTCGTATCTCAAATTTTGCTCTCATCTCAAAACAAAATGTCGCTCGCTCCGCGGCTCGTATCTCAAAATACTCATATATTAGAGTGCTCTTATATCAAGGTAGAACTGTATATGCCTTAATAGTCAAGTAGCTATGAAGGTTCTTATAGACGCAAAGGTAGACTCTAGGCTAGTGTGAGAATGTCTAAAAGAACTATAAATATTACGCCAGGTTACTATTTTGACGAGAAACTTAAATCTTCCCCTCATCATCAAACGATATTGCCTTTTTCACCACTTAAAATTAAAACATTTATCCTTGCTAGGAGGTTGAACTTTAGGGCCTTCATTTTTTTGTAAAAAGTCTCCGCGTCTTAATATAATTACTTCACTTGATTATAATTGACGATTTTTCATATTATTTACGGGAATAGAGGTATCAAAGGTGCAACATAGTACCGAAATGATTTAAAAATATATAGAACATACATTATTATTCACACACTATATAAAAACTGACATAAAAGCTAATTAACTAATAGATATAACTATAGTTTTTATAGTTACGAACTACAAAATATTTCGTAACTCTTTAAACGAAATAAAAAATTTTAAACACAAATATGTCATGATCTTTAATTGCCGCTAATTTCATGGAAATTCCAATATATTCACGATTATTATAGGA